CTCCACACAAAGGGTAGACAGGGATGGGCAAATTGGACATTGGCTAGCCAAAATGGGGGGAGGGATACAAAGGTAAGAAGTGACTGGTTTACAAGCTTTCAAGAGGGAACCTAGATCCAGAGGGCGTGGAGGAAGGTAGAGTCTCCAGCGAGTGGTGTCCAGCCTGTCCAGGAAGAGCTGATGAAACAAAATATAGATGGATCTCTTGTGATGCAATGGTGAATAATTGTTATCAGGACTGATTGAGAGGGTTGGAAATCTAAAGATGAACATTTTGTAACAAAGAGGGGAGTGATTAATTTATTATCAGTCTAGGAGCGGAGGACCCTGGGACCATCAACGGAGAAGAGCGAAGAGCGGAATCCTACCTAGAGAGGCAGTGAGGACTGGGATGGAGGCAGAGAAGACAACGTCAAGAGATGGTGGGGCTGGGGGCTCAGGATCAGGAGATGGAAAGGGCCTGAGGACTGTGGTGGGAGGTGGGTGGAGGTTTACAGGGTACACCCCTTGGTTGGGTGAGGATGATAACTATGCCAACGAAATGATGGATGATGGAATGAATGTAAAGCTGATGTTCTCCCGTGTAGATTATCACACAATTCACAATAAAACATTAAAAAAAAACCACTGCCAGATAGTAGGCTAGGCTATGGAATGATCTACATTGAAGTTGGTATCAGTGCCAAGAGTCATAAAAAATTTAGCAATGTTCAACTCTAATAAATACAACAAATGAAGTAAGCAAAGGTCCAACAGCTGTTTCAATTCTGTCTTCAGTCATGACACTGATGTTGACTTCATTGTAGGTAAGATCTTATTCGGTATTTTGCACCCTTAGAATCATCAGTTTTTAGTTTCATGGTTAGAGAAAATTTTTATGATTTTATGATTTGTATTTATTTTTATGTATGAGGGGGCTTTAAAAAGTTTGTGGAAAAAACCCATTATCTTTTAACCCTATTTTTCCATGAACTTTTTGAAGCCCCCTTTTATGTATATATGAACAAAAATATATCAGTAAGTTTGTACATAATGTTTCTAACCCCCAAAGACAAATACAGATTGGATTTATAAATATTCTGATAATAAAAGGCAATAATAATGAAAACAAAACAAAAAGAGGCATGACTTGTGACACAACAAACTTATGAGACTCGTTGGAATGGAACCCCATCCTAAGTAAGGGAACACCTGTACTTGAATCAATAAAACATACACCCATCACATACTCTAATTAAAATAGAAGCAATTTCTAAAAGCAAAAACTTAATGGAGTTTCAAATATTATTTCAAAAACCATGCAAAGTTCAATTTACCTCTTCTTTGTGTTATTTTCTCTAGCTTTTTGAACCCTGCCGATTGTAGCTTCCAGACTTTTAAGTGATCTTCTGTTGGGTGGCTTGGTTGTTTGCACAGTTACTGTGCTTAACTCAACTTTCATATCCTTAATAATATTTAACAAGTCTTTTTTTGTGTTCTCCTTTACACTGTCTTTGCTCTTGGACGTTTCCTTAGAAATGCCATGGATTGTAGCAGACTGCTCATCTTTCTTATTACAGATCATGCGGTTAGTGCTGAAATATCTTTGAGTATCATATTTTGTCCTAGGAAAGAAACGTTAAAGAGAAAATGAAAAATTAAAATAATAAAGCATCAACTTAAAAATGGTTTCTGTTTTTAATTTTTGTTTTTCAATTTCAGCTCTTTTCATTGGCTTTTTAAAAAAGTTTCTACATGAACAATTTAGTGACTAATTACATTCTTTGAGTTCTGCAAACATTCTTAGGCCCCTTTTCTGAGTTGTTCCTCATCCAATCACATAAATTCACTGCCTTCTAACACTCTTTTCTAATTTTTAAAGTTGCTACTGTCAATTTGATCCCATACAAATATTTCTTAAGAAAGCAGAATGTTTAAGGCATACATTTTTTTTTTTTTATAGTAGTGGCCTAAGTTAAGCTGCTGTTTGGTTTCAAGAAGGCAGGGGATATTTTTGGCTTAAGCTTTAAAGATGATTTCAAGGCAACAGTTTCAGGGGCTCATTCATCCTTCATGACTCCAAGAAGTCTATGTCAGTCTGAAATTCTGTTCTGCATTTTCCCCTTTTTGATCAAGATATTGGTATATAACCTTTGGTCACAACGTTTAGTAATGGCTACTGGACACAACCCATTTCTTCCAGTCTTGTGGCAAAGGAGACAGTTGTTCAGGGAAGCAATTAGCCAAACATTCCATACTCTCCTTCTATTTCTGACTTCCCTTCTCCCTCTGTTGTTACAGGCAATTATAGACCAACTGATGTGCCTTGGATGGTCACCTGCAAGAGTAAAACACTATGCAAACTAGGATGTACACCAGAGGAACTAAACACATTAGACCAGTTGATTGGGATGTCTCATGAAGCTATAACCCTAAACTTCTAAACCAAGAAACCAAATCCCATGAAGTTTTTAGCAGTAGATAACCAGCCTCAGCAGTTACTTTGCTTTTTATTTTATTTTAAGTTGTTTTTTTTTTGTGTGTGTGGGGGGGGAGTATTGTAAATAAATGTATCATAAATTTTTTTCCAGTTCACTAATTTTCAGCAAGATGGCAGACTAGGCAGAAGAACTACATGGAACCTCTACAACAAAGGTTGTTGTTGTTAAGTATCATGAGTTGGTTCCAACTCATAGTGACCCTGCACAGGGTTTCCGAGGTTGTAAATCTTTACGGGAACAGAAAGCCTCATCTTTCTCCCATGGAATGGCTGATAGTTTCAAACTGCCGACCTTGAGGTTAGCAGCCCAATTCGTAACCACTATGCTACCAGAGGTAAAAGAGACCAACTGAACAAACACAGATGAGAACCCTGGAACCCTGGCCTTCAGAGAAAAGGTTAAAAAGTGGACGGAGTGCTTGCTGGAAGGAGAAGCCGACAGTGAGAGAGGGATACTAACTGGTGAACGGCCAGCCAGATGTGATGTGACCATTTTGAACCTTTGTGAGCAGCTTTGGCAACAGAAGGTGGCCTGGCAGTGGTGACAGCAGAGGTGACAGCAACCATATACAGCCCAGCTATAACCATACCCTCTACAGCTTCACCTACTGGGCAGGTGCTAATACCAGCTCCTATAGCACCTGATCAAATATAAACAGCAGCCAATACCAGCCAAACCCACCCTAAACTGAGGTGCACGAGTGGAGAACAAGAACGGTGTACATGCTTTCATTGTCTAATTACACCCTCAGGAGACAGCTGATGAGAGCTCAAGAGCACATCAACACAGAATCATGTAATGGAAAACTGTAATGGAACTAACTGAAGAAAAAAAAAAAATAGAAAGAATGAAAGAATAATGTTTAGGTACCTTCAAAGGACTGACAGAAAGATGGAGGAAAGCACAGAGAACACTGCAAAAAAAAAAAAAAACCTTGGAAGAATTCAGGAATACGCTATAATAACAAACAAGACAAAATAAATGCAATTTTTGAAACAACACAAAGCCTTCAATTAGAAATGAAGGCGATTAATACTAAGATTTCAGAAATGGACAATATATTTAAAGGGCAAAGGAATAAATGCAAGCAATGGAAGCCCAATCAGTGAGCTTTAAGATAAATCTCTCAATACTAGTATGCTAGGAGGATAATCAGAAAAGACAATGGAAACATCTAAAGAAAACCTAAGATTTATATAGAACACCATGAAAAGTAACGACTTATGAGTGATCGGAATTCTAGAACAAGAAACGACAATTAAAAGTACAGAGACAATTGTCAAAGAGTTATTAAAAGAAAACTTCCATATCATCATGAAAGACAAGAAGATAAACACACAAGAAACTGAATGAACCCTAAAAAGGATAGACCCCAAAAGAAAATCACCAAGGCATATCATAATCAAACTTTCCAAAATCTAACATGAAGAGAGAATCTAGAGGGCAGCTTGGGGAAACCAAAGTTATCTACAAAGGAGAACAAATAAGACTAAGTTCTGATTTCTCAGCAGAAACCACACAGGCAAGAAGGCAACAGTATCACATACACAAAACTCTGAAAAGGAAAAAAACCCTGCCAACCAAGAATCATATATCCAGCAAAGCTGTCCCTCAAATACAACTGAAAAATTAGGATGTGTCCTGATAAACAGACATTTAAGGAATTTGTAATGACTAAGATGAGGCTTTCTGCTCCCGTAAAGATTTACAGCCTCGGAAACCCTATACAGGGTCACTATAGTCAGAATTGACTCCAAGGCACATAACCACCACCATCAGACCAGCTTTACAAAAAGTGCTCAAGGGTGTTATTTGGACTGATTAACCAACAGAAGACAACAACCTGATACTAGCCTACATGACAACACTACTCAGAACTCAATCAAGAAATTTGTTGTTGTTAAGTAAGTGCTGTCAAGGTGGTTCCAACTCACAGAGAATTTAAAATAAAACAAACCTACAGAACTGAAAATATGGAACCAGAAATATCAATTTATAATAAAGTCAAATACATAGCAAAAAGAGGGAATACTGTAAATAGAGAACTTCCAAATAGCAACTCAAGTAGATTTTAAGATAAAACAGTCTGTTTTATCTTAAAATCTACAGGGGGAAAAAGAATAAACTACAGGATAATTTCAAAGACAATTAATATAGCTGCACATCAAAATTTAAAAAAAGAGAAAATCTGAAAGATTTAATAAACATTAATACAACAAAAATGAAAATGAGAAGAAAACCCGCAAATAAAACTAACTCAGTGCAGAGAATTATGTAGAACAAAGAAACCACCAGGATCACAAAAAAACACACAGCAAAATAACAGAAATCAATTCATCCCTATTGATAATTATACTGGATGTACATGGATTAAATGCACCAGACAGAAAGTAGTAGAATGGATAAAAAAACAAAACAAAAACAGGATCTTTCAATATGGTGTCTACAAGAGACACATCAAAAAGATGGAGATGGCCTAAATGCCCATCAATGGAAGAATGGATAAATCAACTTTGGTACATACACACAACAAAACACTACACAACATTGAAGAATAACAATGAATCTACAAAACACCTCAAGACATGGATAAACCTGGAGGACATCTGTTGAGTGAAACTGGTCAATCACAAAAGGACAAATTTTGTATAAGACCAATATTTAAGTTAAGAAAAGGTTTTGCTGATAGAAGAAACAATATGTGATGATTAGGAAGGGGGTAGGAAGGGAGGAAATCTGTGATGGTTAGGGGTTAGGAAGGGAGGGGAAATTATTGGGCTAGAGGTAAACACATGCTAACATGAGTGAAAAGGCAGTTAATATACAACAGGAGGAAAACTGAAGGTAGCAGGAGACACAGGGAGGAAAGCAACAGTTAATGTGAGTACAGGTAAATACTGCTAAGTGTAGGTACATGGAGGGGATTAGAAGCATATGATTTGTTGAATGCAAAATAGATGCTCTGCTTTGTAAATCTTCACTCAAGTCACAATAAAAATGTTAAAAAAAATTTTTTTGTGCCGATTCAACTTTTTTGTTGTTGTTGTTAACTGCCATTGAGTTAGATCCAACTTGAGTCAGTTCTAACTCATAGTGACCCTGTATAGGGTTTCTGAGGAGTGGCTGGTGAATTTAAACCGTTGACCTTGCAGTTCAAACCAACCTTGTGGTAGCCCAGTGCACTGTCCCACAGTGCCAACTTTTGCAGGTGTATAGTTTATTGACAGCAATGACAACAGTTGGCTGTGCAACCCTACTTTCAATTAACAGTTCCATCACTACTATTGTTCCTTTACTCCCTCCCTACTGTACCTGGTAACCACTAATAATAAACTGTGGTTTCTATATATTTGTCTTTTCCTGTCTTTTTATATAATGTCTTAGATTATAGTATGTAGCAAAAATTCATTTCTTCTACTGGCTGAGTAATATTCACCTGTGTGTATGTCTCACATTATGCTGATCCATTCACCTGTTGACAGGCATTTAGGTTGTTTCTACTTTTGTAATACTGTGACTAGTGCTGCAATATTAAGAGACCAAGGATCTGTTTCCAAGCCTTTTGGGTACATACTTGGAGTGGAATTGCTGGGTCCACAGCACATAACCACCACCACCACAATGGGCTCGGCACTGGGCTGCTAAGCGCAAGTAACCAGCAGCTACTTCTCAGGAGAAAGATGAGACTGTATGCTCCCATAAAGGTTTACAGTCTCAGAAACCCTAAGAATCAGTTTTACTTGGTGCTAAAAGGTTTCAATGAGTCTGGATTGACTTAATGGCAATGTGATTTTTTTGGATGGTAGTTCTATTTTCAGTTTTTCACAAGAGCAATACTGTTTTGCATTTCCACCAGAAATGAGCAAGAGGACTTTTGTTTTTCACAAGTGTTTACTGAGTACAAACATTGTGCCCAACCTCGTGCAATGTATTTTATGTACATTAATCTCATTTTTCACATGAAGTTCATGAGGTAGGTATTAACATCATTCTACAGATAAAGAAACTGGAACTTGCTTAGAGTCACAAATATCAGAGTCCATTAAGACCCAAGGCACACTTACATACCACAAGTGCATGAAAGTGTGATAAGACTTTGATCCTCTTGGTTTGGAGCTAGTGGA